GGTAGCCGCCATCAAGACTGTGGCTGGGGAGCCTCAGAGAGGTTGATGATGACAGGCGAGGAATCAGGACTGTCACTGTCAGATGATGACGAGAATGGGGGAGGAGCAAGTCAGAGTGGAATGCACTGTGGTCTTTACGGAGCATCCCACTGGGTTTTCCTGAGACCATGGGGGAAATGCCACCACCCCTCCCTTTCCAGGGAGGAAAGCTTGTCTCAGACAAGGCAGCAAGTTATCACGTGATGCAGTGAGCAACAGTAATGCCAGGCCCAGAGCCCAAGCTTGACCTCAAAACCTGGTCATTCCTCCAGAGACATCATGAACCCTAGCCGGCCACACAGACTGTGTACCGCAGTTAACCTGGCCTTCCCCCATCTTCTTTGTTTTTTACTTGCTAGAATTTCCATTTGTGGTGTGGAGATCCAAATGCCACTAGGTCCTCTGCCCGCCCTTGTTGAACTGAGCCCCCTCACTGGCCTTGTCAGAAGGTCATTTCCTTGCATTACTCTCATGAGAACCACATGTGGGGAGAAGATCCTGTTGTGTTCTCAGTAGATGTCAGCAAAGACTGAATGAAAGTATAAGTGTTCTGTGGAGAGTTCTCTGTTCCTTTTAGCATTTCTGCATGTCTGGTTGGGGGCCATTGGCTCAATAATGCAGGGAAATGGCAGGTATTGTGTATTCCATTGCTTTAATAAGGAGAACTTTGGGGCTCTAGGCCTATGGGGGACTCAGGATCCATGGGGTCATTTTACAGGCCTAGAATGATGACTGGATGTCTCATTTCATCTTCAGAGGATGGAGGCTGGTAAAACGCCACTGTCACAGACCTGAATTGATCTGGCAGCTGCACTATCACTTGGTTGCATCTGCTGAGAGCTGCATAAGAAGCCTGATGTGGCCTTTGTTGTGTATCTTTTTAAAGGCAGGATGCTCAGAGTGTGTGGAGCAGGCTCTACCGACAGCAAGGAGCAGTTTAGAGCAAATGATTGCTTTAACCCTGCTCCTTGCCACAGGACCTTTGCCAAGAGCCTTTGCTGTCCCTATAACTAACTCCTTTGTGTCTTTTTTAGGGCATTTTTTAAAAGTAGATTCATCTGCCTGCTTCTCCTATCCTTTCCCATATTTGTTGCCTTTATTACCTGTATTAGAAGTTGGACTAATTTTATTGCTTTCTTATAGTAGTCATGACTTTCTGAAGGAACAGAACTGATAGAGCATATACATGTATGAAATTGATTAGATTCCAAGATGCTATCTGAGTAGCCAACAGTGGCTGTTTCACATTGGCCAAGAATCCAGTAGTCGTTCAGTCCATGGGGTTGGCTGCCTCAGCAGCTCAAGCTGGTGCTGAAGGCCTGGAGAATTCGCTGGTCTCCAGTCTGTCGGAGTCCTGAAGAGGTTGGTTCTGGTATCTGTGAAGGAATGCTTCAGGAAGGGGGCAGATGGACTTGCTAGTGAGAGTGGGGGAAAGGAGGCTTAAAGCCATATTTTTTTTCCTCCACGTCCTTCTATCTGGGCTGCCGTTGAAAGGGGGCATCACATTTACGGTGGTTCTTTCTGCTTCAAATAATCTGAGCAAGAAAATCCTCATCGTAGTGCTCAGAAGATTGTGTTTTAGTTGATTCCAGATGTAGTCAACCAAGATTGGCCATCACACTTGCATTTTGTTTATGTGTGTGCTGTCTGTTCACTTGTGTGGGGGCCATGTGAGCCCATGTGCATGCAGAGGAAGACGGGGGATGTCCTGCTGTCTCTCTCTGTATTTTATTCTCTTGAGACAAAGTTTCTCACTGAACCTGGCACTAACTTGGCAGCAAGCAAGCCCCAATGTTCTGGTCTCCATCCCCGACAGCACTGGGGTTGTGGCTGTGTATGACCATGCTTGGTTTTGTATGTGGGTGTCCCTATGCCTACAGAGCAAGCATTCTCACCATTGAACCATCTCTCCAGATCTGTGTACTTGTATATAAATATATATTGAAAACTATCTTCTCGACTTAAACGTAAACTCTGAGAAGACAGGCATCATCTCTGTATGGTCGTCATCAATATGTGAGCATTTATATTGGTAGTATGTTAGGTTGATGAGCTAACGAACTTTATAATGAACTAAGACTCTCTTTCAAACTGAGATAGCCGAGACTCTGCCGTAGCATCTTAAGACCTTTTTAAAAATTAAAATGTGTGTGTGTGTGTGTGTGTGTGTGTGTGTGTGTGTGTGGTTGAGCAAACTCAGGCTTAGTGGCAAGCACTTTTACCTATTGACCCATCCCTCAGGTTCCGCAGTTGTATCTGTAAATGCAGTCTGGGAAAACTGCATCTTTTGAGGCAATCTGAGCCCAATGCTGCATTGGTGAGGCAGCTCATACTGCCTAGATGCTTAGTTGTGCAATGTTGCGTGCTGATTGGGTGACTCTCCTGGTGTGGGAGAATTGTCTGTATTCTGTCAATCATATTTTAATAAAACGCTGATTGGCCAGGCAGGCAGTATAGGCGGGAAAGCCAGACAGGAAGTAGGGGTCGAGCAAAGAGACTGGGAGTATTCTGGGACACAGGAAACTCCCTCAGTCACTCCTGTGCAGATCACCGAAGATGCAACATGTAAGCTGTCACACTGAGAAAGGTACTGAGCCCATGTGGCTAATGTAGATAAGGATAATGGGGTAACATAAGTTATAAGAGCTAATAAGTAGCCTGACCTAATGGGCCAATCAGCTTTATAACTTATAGAGATCTCTGTGTGATTGATTTTCTCTTTGGGGCATGCCGGTTGTGGGGTACCGGGTGGGACAGAAACCCCAACTAGCTGGCCCCTTCATGTTACACTCTCCCTGCTCACCCCGAGTTTCTGTAGCCCAACATAATTGATACTAGCACCTTGTGAGAAGACATGACTCTCCCTCATGATTTATGCTCCCTGGTCACACACTGCCAGCCAGACATATAAGCTGTGAGACAGAATGACCCAAGCCAGTCAGCTTGCCTGTGATGAACAGCATTTACTCTACATGGGGACTAGGATTTAGGTCCTGGCAGCCTTGGGCTTTGAGTCTGCCAGGAAAGTGCTGTGGTAGGCAGGACTCTGCCCCAGGTGGGCAGGGGCTCTAGCTGACCCACAAGGGACTTTTGTGTGAATTGGAAAAGGGTGCCTTTGGGTGTGTGCAGCACTGTGCATGGACAAACAGCGTGGCAAGTGGAGAACTGGCTGGATTTCAGTTTCTTCTTGACCTTTGGGCTGAGCATCTGTGTGGTAAACAACCTGAACCACTGTACACGAGGATCCTGAGAGGAAAACAACTTTAAGGCTTGGGGCCTTTCTCCATGTCTTGCTAATTGCACCCTGTGCTGGTTAGTTTGTGTCAACTTAGTACAAACTGGGGTCACCCGGAAAGATGAAACCTTTTTCTGGATGGCTTCCATCAGTTTGGCCTGTGGGGCATTTTCGTGGCTAATGATTTTCACGGGAAGGCCCACTGCACTGTGAGCAGTAGCAGCCCTGGACTGGTGGGTCTGGCTAGTATATGAGAGGTCTCAGGGAACAAGCCAGTAAACAGTTTATTTCTCCGTGGCCTGGACTCATGTTCCCGCCTCTGCTCCTGCTCGAATTCCTACGCTGACTTCCCTTGGTGACAGGTGTCACCTCAAGTGTGTGTCAAATAACCTCTCTCTTCTCCTATGTGGTTTTGGGTCAGACTGTTTTATCACAGCAATAGAAACCAAACCAGGACGGAGTGTCTCTGCAGGGCCTTGCTATAGCCCATCATTTCTTCTCTTACCCATGCCAGAGTCAGCTCAACCCTCTTTTGAACGGCAGGGGCTAAGGGCCTTAAGAGAGAAAGAGAGCTACATTAATCAGGTGACTGGTGTGTACTAGCTAGCAGGTTAGACACTTGGTGTACAGTGACAAGTGTGACTGAGTCCTTCTGGTCTCCTTTAGGCCTAATGCATCCTGGGCTATATAGAGTACCATGATTCTACTTCCAGACCTATGGATGGGGGCAACTGTGAAGATAAGCAGGGATCCCCGAGACACAGGAGGGTCCGACTCAGGAGAAGGGAAGCGGGGGCTGTTTGCTGGGGTTGGGAGCTGAGTGGCTTGCTGTGGCAGACAGTGGAGGGAAGCTGTGAAGTGGTTGTTGGTTTGGGCAGAGAAGATTGACAGGAGAGAAGTGGAGAGGAGGTCTTCACCTGGTCATGGTGGCAGAAGAGATGGTTGCAGAGGCCTGTGAGAAAGGCTTTTCAACATGCCCCCAACTGTCCCCTCAGGAGCCCACTCTGGCTGTAAGCCAAAAGATGGGCTTGATAGCTGAGCAGTCTGGCCCAAGCCCCGGAGGGGCAGGTGGCAGTGAGGTCTGCTTTGTGGGAGGGAGGCTGTGAGGATCCTGGAGCCTGCACAGGCTGTTTCTAACACTCAGCCCACACAGCACCAGGCACACATTTGTACACGCTCAGCCTTGCCACTTGCAGTGTGTACTCTTCTGATGGTACTGCATAACTCTGGGCATGAGAGGCAAGGAATGGCTCGGTGTTTATCCCGGTAGGTGCAGGGCATTGTCCCAGGTCCACCTGCCGCCTGCGGTCTCTACTCAGACCTCTTCAAAGCTCTCTGTGCCCACTACTCTACCAGGTTGCCAGGACAGCTGGATCCTAGTTGGCTGCTTTTGGTATCTCTCCAGTATTCAGTTTTGCCAGCAGGGCACAGGGCTGGATTCCAAGGGTGGGGATGATCAGCTTTTAAAGTGCAGTCTCAGAAAACCCAGAAGAATACTTGGATTTTCTAGGTCCGTGCAGAACTCATGACCAGGCAAGTTCAAGGCCAGCTCAGCAACAAGGAGAGGAAGTACTTGCCACTAGATCCCCAGGAAGTGGCATCGTTTTGGGGAGCTGATGAGACTTGGAAGAGGTGGGATCTTGTGGAGGAAGTGTGTCACTGAGGGTAGCCTTTCAGAGTTTATAGCCTTGTCCCATTTCCGGCTCATTCTCTCTGCTTTCTCCAGGTGATTGAAGATGTAACCTTTCAGCTTCCTGCTCTGGCTGCCAGCTGCCATGCCTACCCTGCTGTTGCAGACGATCCCTCTGGAACCATAATCCAACACAACCTCTTTCTTCTGTAAGTCCCCTTCGTTCATGATGTTTTAGCTCAGCAAAAAAAAAAGTAACTAATACAGTTGGTGGTGACTTTATTTGGAGACAAGTCTCCACAGAACTGGGGAGCTGCAGAATAGGGGCTCGAGATCAAGTCCATCTAATTCCAAGCCCATACATTCAATTCGGACCCTTTTCTTAAGACCAGAGTAGTGCATCCCCTTCCACAGCTTACCCTAGGTCTTCTCAGAACCAGGAGACCAGTCTGAGTACAAGTGGCTTACTGGCAAGGTCATTCTCTCTGTTTGGACTTCTAGTTGTCCCTAACTTTCCCATCCAATAGTGTTTCTGGCTACAAAGAGTTGTTATTAAAACTTGTGGTAGTAATTCCAGTGCTTGGGAGATGAAGGGAAGAGGATCACACTTCCAATCTAGCCTGGGCCACAGAGCAAGACTTTGTTTCAAAAATCAACACTCATGTTTCACATGCGTGCATATGTGCACACATTGCTCCTCTCCCATTTGTGGTAGAGTTTATTTTCGTAGTTGCAAAGAACCATATGGCCTAGTCTTTGTTCCCTGTGAGGTTCCTTCCATGCTGACTAGAGAACGGCCCCAGATTTGCTCAAGTAAAGGGGCTACTAGTAAACTTAGGCAGGCAGAGGCTTAATGAGGACTTGCTAGTGTATCCTTTCTCTTGTAGCCCAAATGCCACATCGTCAGGAAGCCCAGACCATCCCCCCAAATAACACATTTTATTTATTAATAAAATAAATATCCAGATGAGAAATATCCAGAAAGTTTACAAGAAGCCCCAAGCACAGGCCAGCTCTGGGCTCTCCGCAACGGGTGTGGGCTGGAAAACTTACCTCATCTGGAGACTGTGTTAGGGAGAAAACATTTGGGAAGTTCCTTTGTTGAGTGTGGGCAAAAGTTGTTACTGAATAACAGTGACATGCCTGGGCCATGAGTGTTCTACCAGATACTGTTTATGTAGCAAAACTGTGGAGGAAAGGAATTTAGTCCCCATAAAATAAGAGAAGACACTAAAATTTGTTCCCATTCAAATAAAGATCATCAAGTAAATAAGTCCCCCAAACTAATGAATGCTTCGAATTCCAAGTTTCTTAATAAGGCTTAATTTTCCACCAATTTTATTGGTAAATTTCTCTAGTGATGCGATTTATTTCTACACCTCTTAACCTTGAATCATAAAATAAATGTAAGTTTCAAAAGTTAAATGGTGAATATTCATTTCCCCCAAAACTATTGTGGGTAAGAGACTTTCTCCTGATTTAGAAGGGTAAAACTAAAATTTCAGAATGAAGTACACATAACAGGAAAAAAAATTGAAAAGTATTACGGTGCCGTCTCTTACAGATTTCCTTGTGGAAGGCTCTTTCCTCTCCTCGCCCCCTCCCCCAACTGAGGACACCACTCGAATGCATTTCAGGAGCACTGTTTGTTTCATTCATGGGTCTTCTTGTGTGCTGTTCTGCAGGTGTCTGGAATTGTTAGAGCACTGCATTGTGAGTCTTGCTTCTTCTCACTTCTCTTCCCTTAGCATCGCTCACTGGAGCTCTGTCCACGTCGCCTCAACAAGTGTCTGCTGCATTGGCCCTAGCTGTTGCCATGAACACCACAGAGCCTGCCTGCCATGTTTCCTTTTTTAATCCCCACAGCTGGCCGGAAGACCCTGGCTACTTTCAGCAGCGCAGCACGCAGCGTCTGCCTCCCTGTTCCCTTACAGACCCAGTTCAACCAGTGTTCTTGCATTTTATCCACAGCCATTTGCAAATTCATGTGCCTTTATTGGGAGAAACACCCAGTGTGCACATGGATCTATAATGCTGAATTTAGGTTTTCTATCTTCTCTCTTCATTTGTAATGAAAATGCCCGCACAGATCAAACTGCTAATACTGTAGCTTTGAAAACAAATGGAGTCCTTGTAGAAATCAATTGTTTCCTAATTAATTAGTAATACCCCGTGAAGGAAAAATAAAAAGTTAAGTAATTTGTTCAAAGCAAAGGCACTCTCATGGTGAAACCTCCCTCGGTTTGTATAGCTAGTTTATTTATTACCCACTTTCACTGTTGTACAGATCATTTAGATAGAAAACTAATAAGGAACAGAATGAGCTGCATTTTAAACTCAGTGAATTGAACAGGTATTTGTAGGATGTTCCATATACCAGCAACAGAGCACACATTCTTCTCAAATGTGTATAGAATGCTTTCCACTTTGGATCATATATTAGGCCACAAAATAAGTATTAATAAATGTAGGAAAACTAAAATCATATCAAGTGTTTTTTTGATTACATGGTATGAAAGTGGAAGTCAATAATAGGGGGAGGAGAAACATAAAAATTAATACAATTAACCAACATGTTTCTGAATGACTGATATGCCAAAGAGGAAATTGAAAAATAAATTTGGAAAATGTGTTAGTCCAGATATGATGGCACACACTTGCAATCATAACATGCTGGAAATTGAGGTCGAGAGATTACAAGTTTGAAGCCATCCTGGTTGGCAAAGCAAGAACTTGTCTCAAAAAACAAAACAACAAAAATAAAAAACAAACAAACAAAAAACCCCCAGAACAAATCTTGAACAAAGATGGAAGTATAAGTTACTCAAATAATACCAGGAAGGGAAGACATTGCAAAGGATGTCACAGAAATGGAAAGAATTGTAAGAGACCACTGTGAACAATTATTCACCTACTCAGAGAACTGGATGAATTACTAGATTCATGCAGTCTACCAAGACTAAATCAAAGGAAATAGAAAAGTTGTACAGACCAATGACAAGGAAGGATACCACACAGAAACCTAAGGTCAACAACTCTGATGAACATAAATGAACAAATTTTCCATAAAACACTAGCAAAGTAAATTCAACTCCCTGTTACAAAAGTCATTAATCATGATCAAATAGGATTTATCCCAGGAATATTAAGAGTATGCAGCAGCCATGAATGAATAAATGTGGTATATGATAAAAGCAAAAATGGTCATAATTTTCATTGTTACTATAATAGTTGCATAAAAAGTATTTGACAAAACTTACACTAGTTCTTGATAAAAATTTCTCAACAAACAAGCAGGCCAGGGATGTGGCTTAGTTAGTAGGATGCTTGGCTAGCATGTACAGAGCCTGGAGTTCCATCCCCAGCACTGTATAAGGCAAGCATGGTAGTACATGCCTGTGATCCCAAGGTGGCAACATTATGAGTTCAAGTTCCTGCCTTGCATGAAACACTATCAAAATAAATAAATATAAAGCAATTTTTTAAAAAAAGGTCTAGAAAGTCATACGTGACAAACTGTAAGCTAACCTTATTAAATGATTTGAAAACATTTTCTCTAGGGTTAGGAACAACACAAAGATGGTTCCTACCACTGCGTCAAGTCAGTAGTGTCCTAGACATTACAGCCAGAGCAACCAGGCAAGAAAAAAAAAGAAAGGAAAGGCATCTACACGGAAAAAGAAAAAGTTTCCCAGTTACTCACAGGTGATTTGTATACAGAAAACTTTAAACAACAAAACCCTCTTAGGACTGACAAATAAATTCAGCTAAGTTCAGGCTATAACAGCAACAAAAGCAAGACTGGGGCTGGGGAGAAGGCACAGTTGGTTGAGTATTTGCTGTGTAAATTTAGAGACCTGTATAAAAGCTGGGCTTGGTTTTGTGTATCTAGAACCCCAGTGCTGGGATCGGGTGGAGATAGGGAGATAGACACATTATTGGAACTTCCTAAACAGCCTGGTTCTTAGCCCTAGTCTAGCAAGGATCTCCAGACCTAGTAATTGTGGTATGTGTGTGTGTGTGTGTGTGTGTGTGTGTGTGTGTGTGTGTGTGAGAGAGAGAGAGAGAGAGAGCAAGAAAGAGAGAGAGAAATGGAAGATTAAAATGTCCAAAATTAATTATATACATATATAAGATTGTCAAATCAAATAACTAAGGTGGAGAAGTGATTGAGGAAGAGATTCCAATACCAACATCTGGCTTTCACACATTCCTCACAGATACTCATACCTATATACATGCATGCATGGGTACACCCTTGCGTACACAAACTCTATAGCATGTCTAAACACCAACAATACAGTGTTTGATAAGGAAATTAAGGAAACAAACAACATAAAAAGAGAAAATACTTAGATGAAAATTCAACCAATGAAGTGAATTATCAGGCCTCTAAAATCTCTAAAACCTTGATGAAAGACGCCAAAGAAGATGAGAACGGAGGGACGCAGAGCTTGTGCTCACAGTTTGGAAGGGTTAATATTGTCAGAATAGTTATGCTACACAGGACATCTTTTGAGCTGACATGATTTTATCAGAGCATCAATGGCATTCTCCACAGAAAGAGAAAAGACAATCCTAAAATCCACATGGAATCAGAAAGATTCTGAGAATTGGAAGCAAATTTGAGCAGAAAGAACAAGTTTTACATCACCCTCCCTGATCTCAAAATGTATAATGAAGTAATTAAGTCAAAACAACATAGGCCTGGCATAATAGCAGAATTAGTGACCAGTGGAACAGGATAGAAAGCCTAGTGGAACAGGAAAGAAGTACCAGGAAAATAATAATTTATGGTACCATCCATATATTTATAATAAACCATCCATACATTTAGGGTTTATTAATTTTATGTATATAGTGTTTTGCCTGTGTGTATGTCTGTGTACCACATGAATGCCTGGTGCCCACGGAGGCCAGAAGAAGGTGTGTTGAATCCCCTGGAACTGTAGTTATGAATGGTTGTGAGTTGCCATGAGCATGCTGGAAATTGAACCTAGGTCTTTTGGAAGAGCAACAAGTGCACTTCAGATCCATGGCTGATTAATTTTGAACAGACATGCCGAGAACACTCAACGAAGAAAGGACAGTCTCTTCAATAAGGGATATTGGGAAAAATGAATCTCCATATACAGAAGAATAAAATTGGACCTTGATAATTTCATACTAAATAAAAAAAATAGACCCAACATAGATGAAAGGTTAAGTATAACCTGGAGCTGTAAAGCAACTAGAAGAAAACAGAGAAATGTCCGTGATGATGGTCTAGGTGATCTTTCCTTGGTTTGAACTCTAAAAACACAGACAACAAAAGCTAAAGTAGACAAATGGGATTGCATTTCCGAACAGCAAAGGACTAAAGAGAAGATATACCCAAGGGTTTGGAGGAAATATTTACTAAGTATACAGCTAATAAATGTTTGTAAGTCATAAGGTTATGATAAGAGACCAGGACCCCAAATATCTAAGAGAGTAAGGAAAGTTCACAACTGGTAAATGACCGAACTGAAAAACAGGCAACGGTCCTGACAGATGTTTTTCAGAAGAGATAGGAACGGGCACTGGGTTCAGAAGAAAAATGCTCACCATCTCTGATCAGCAGTGTGCGGCAGTGAAAGCCATTGGGAAATCATACCCCACCATTAGAAAAGATGTCCTTTAGAAGAGGGACAGTTCCAAGTGTTGCTTGGGGGTTTGGAGAAGGGTCAGTCCTTCTGCAATGAATGCAATGTAAAGCAGAGCAGCCACATTGGGAGCTGATGTGAAAGGTTCTTGAAAAAACAAAGGTAGAATTGGAATAGGACTTAGAAACCCGGCGTCTGATTATATGGTACCAGGAATTGAAACGGGTACGCTGAAGGGATAGTTGCATCCCTGGGTTCATCCCAGCAGTGTTCATCCCAGCCAAGATAAGAAAAGAACGTATCTATCTAACAGGGGTCAAGTGGATTGTGAACATCTAAGCATCCAGGAAGGCAGAAGGACATTCTGTCATTTATGGTAGTATGAGGGAAGGTGGGAGATGTGCTAAGTGGAATAAGCCAGGTACAGACAAACAAATACTGTGTGACGTCACTGGGGACCCTGAAAAATTCAACCTAAAAGACAGATAGCAGGAAGTATAAGTGTGTGGGTGAGGAGGAGGGATGGAGACAAAGGAAATGATCATCAAAGGGAACAAATTTTCAATATGAAGAGAGAAATAAGTTTGAGAAACATCTTGCGTGCTTGGTAAACACAATTAACATGATGTATTGTGTATTTCAAAATTGCTAAAAGATGACTAGATTTTTTTTTTAACATCCTCACCACAGAAAAGGATAAGTTGGTAAGGTAATTGATGTGTTAATTAGCTTGTTTGAATCTTTTTACAATTGATAAAAACATTACATTGTATTTCATAAATATGCATAATTATTGTCAATTATAAAGCAAATTAATTTAAGAATCAGGCATTTTGTATTTACAAACTCATACAAAAACCTTAAAGGTAAAACAAAACTGGGAAAATATTTATAGTAGATATGGCAAAGTTATTAAATGCATTAATTAATAAGACTTGCCACAGATCAATAATGACAAAGGTGAAGCTGGGCTAGGGACCTGGCTCCATGTATTGGGTACCATGCTTGCTGTGCAAGCATGAGAACCTTTAAACTTCAGCACCCAAGTGAAAAAGCCTGGCATGGTGGTATGCACTGGAGAGGGGACAGTCTCTGGATTTCATCAGCCAGCTAGTTCAACCTAATTGACCAAACCCAAGTCCTAGTGAGAGATCCTATGTCAAAAACACAAGGTGGCCAGTTCATTTGGAATGACCTCTGGCTTCCACAAGCGTGTGTGCAAACACTCACGTGCATCTGAACATACGTGAACACATTTCCTCTTGTAAAAGGGTGAGACTAACAAAGCTAGAAAGGGCACCGTCAGAAGAATGCTTCCAGCCACATCTGCTGGCTTGATTTCAACTCATACAGGGTCAATGCTTGGCTCTGATAGATCTTTTAAGGATTTCGGATAGGGCTTTGTCTAGCCTAGGTACAGCTACTTTGCTGACGCTCCTGCCTGTGAATACACAGGCAGGTATGGTGTTCTGAATGACATGACCTCACCGAGAGGGATCTATGTCATGGGACAGTGGATGATGGCTATTCTTGGTCATCAACTTGACTACATCTAGAATGAACTCCAACTGAAGTGGCTGAATACATCTGCAAGGGACTTTTCTTCATTGAGCTATTTGAGGTGCGAAGATTCACCCTAAATCTGGATCTCTTGAGGTGGGAAGATTCGCCTTAAATCTGGGTCACACCTTCTGGTGGCAGGCTCTATGAAGGACGGAAGCAGGAAGTGCTTGCTCTTTGCCCGCTTGCTCTCATTCTCACTGGCAAGTTCATTAGGTCACTGGTATTAGAGCCTGCTTCTTTTGGGATTCTGGCAAATACTGAAAACTAGCTGAGAAATCCAGCTGTTGGACGAAATAAC